ACTCTTAAACATTTTTAACTTCACATATTTTAAAAGCGTATGGCTCAAAAACTACACATCCAATTACTTTGAAATGTTTACACATGTCACGCAAGCCCATTGTCGTTCTTGAACTGTTGCCTTTTCACTAGGGCACTGGTCTATCGTTTTGTATGACGACGCCATTACGGGGTTTTGATATTTTGTCAAATACTGTGAAAATGTGTGGGTAACTTTGAAAACGAAAACAACACGCGCAAAGTTGGACTTCTTCCAAATTTTACGCCGTGTAAAAAGTGGCTTCTCTTTATCGATTCACCATGCTTCGACTAAATAAATCAGAAAGAGATCACATCATTGGCACGCTTCAGGTGGGCACTCCGGCCGCTTTCGTTAGTCGTGAGAAGGTTCAACATGAACAGACACACCACACGGGATCACATGGCAGCGAACGCTCAAAAAAAGACAGACCCTAGCAAGTAGAACGCGCAGAAAGACTAAACGGAGTGTGGGCGCATTCATCCTAACGCAACGCCTGAGAAATCAATTTCAACAGGAAAACAAAGACCCAGGTTGAGTCGAAAAGACTTGGAAATGACAATCTGAACTTTGTTGTCACTGTTTTTCTTCGTTTATAAGATAAGAACCCTCGTGCTAGCGGCCAAGTTTGTCGCAAAGCTTGCAGCCCCCTCACATCCAGCACAGACTTCACTAGGCACAGCGTCGCGTATGATGGCCGCAAGGCTAAATTAACCAAGTTCTCGAACCCAATGTACTTTTCTTTCAAAATCAAGCCCAAGGACCAGTATTCATGCATGATAATGCACCTGCTCATAAGGCTGCTGTGAAAAATCAATTTATCAAAACTAACAATATTCTTCTCCTTCACCCACGGCCAGCGCATCACCAAATCTTAATCCTATTGCGAGACATTTTAGATCGCGCCATTCGTGCCAGACCACGCCAGCTCCTTACCCTTTCAGTTAGAATATGCCTTAGATCTAATTATTTAAGAGTGAAATATTATCCCCCAATAGGCAATACTTCGATTCATCCCGTCCATGCGTCGACGACGTGAAGATGTGACGACGCCAGATGTCATCACACGTTACTGAAAGCTGTCACTTTTCATTTCGACCCTTGACAACTATATACCTAAGTTCCAAACTGAAGATTTAAAACATTCTTAACTTTGCATTTCTCGCGTTTCCCTTGCTGTAAAATGAATGCACTGTCCTATCTGGAATTCCCTGGCAGATTCGATAAGAGAGCCTATATTATTATTGATCAAGATATTGCCTTTAGTATAGGTGTGAAATTTAAAATATTAAAGAGTGTAATCCCTATATATATATATATATATATATATATATATATATATATATATATATATATATATATATATATATAGATAGATAGATAGATAGATAGATAGATAGATAGATAGATAGATAGATAGATAGATAGATAGATAGAGAGAGAGAGAGAGAGAGAGAGAGAGAGAGAGAGAGAGAGAAAGAGGGAGAGGGAGAGAGAGAGAGAGAGAGAGAGAGAGAGAGAGGGGGAGAGAGAGAGGGACAGAGAGAGAGGGACAGAGAGAGAGAGAGGGAGAGAGAGAGAGAGAGAGGGAGAGAGAGAGAAAGAATTATTGTGCTGTTCAATGCAGACTGATCACTCTACTTAACTAACAAATCATGGGCATCGTGAGACCATTTACAACAACGACAACAACAACACACACGCACGCACGCGCGCGCGGGCGCGCACACACACACACACTCACACAAACATACATGCGCGCGCGCGAGCGCATGCACACAAGCGCACATACATGCACACACACACACACACACACACACACACACACACACACACACACACACACATATATATATACGCAGACACTCACACATATATTATATATGCACGCACGTATCAACGCACTCATGCATGCGCGCACACGCAACTACCAGACCCCGATATATATTCTTACATACAAATTACTAGCAGTAGCAGAAGACATAATTGGTGCTAAACAAAGTACATGTATATTTTAGACTTCTCTGAACGCTGTGATGCTAGCATACATATTTCTTTTGGAAGGGATTATCAAATTCCAGATTCTAGTGCATATAATATATAAGAAGAAAAAAATTCTTCCACCCAACTTGTTAAAATTTACTCTAGATCTAGGTACTCTAATAAGATTCTCACTCGCAGATCTCAATTGTCTTGATGGTGTATAATATGACTCAATAGGCCTGCGGTTTTTAAAAGATGATCATATGTGGTGCTTTGTTGTTCAAGTTCAAACACTTTAGTGAGAGCAGGATGGTTCACTACTTTAGGCTATTTGAAAAAACATGTTTTTGAAAATGTCTTCAAAGTACCGTTGATGAGATCTGAAGGACGCCTGTTTGTCTGTGGCACTTTTGCAAAGTCTTTTTTTTGTGTGTATCAAATTTGCAGAGAGAGATGAGTATTTTTGGAGTTTCCGATCTTTGGTATGAAAACTGAGCGGTCCAAGTCCACAGCATGACCTTGGAGCAGAAAACAAACTGCTTGTACTACAATACCCCTCTGTTACTCATCTCAACATAATAAACAGTGGCCTACATAATAATGTTATGGTTGCGTTCTCAAGTGGCAAAAATTGCCTAGAGTGGATGTGTGTATTTTACAGGGTTTCTAGATCTAAATAAATAACCGAAGAACAAAACAGAGAGGAAAAAGACAGTTTTCCATTTCATCGTGTTTCCATTCAAAGCAATATATGGCCTCCCAGATTCTTTCTTTACCAATTTTGGCCGACGTATTGGACTCACTTGGTGTTGACTGCTGACTGCTACCGCTAGCTATAAACTTATGGCCAGTGAGACCAAGACAGTGGAGGTCTCCTTTTCTCTGATTTTCTGGCTTTTTTGCCTTTCATTTATTTCTTGAATTGCCATGAATCAAAGAAATCCATATTACGACCGTATCAGTCGACAAAGATGAAACTCTAGATTGAATCTCTAGATTAAAAAGTAATTCAAAACAATGCCGCTAGACTGATAACAAGATCTAAAAAACGAGACCATGTCACTCCATTATATATTTAAAAGAACTGCATTGGCTCCCTGTAAAAGAACGAATAATATTTAAAATCTGCGTCATGTGTTTCAAATGTGTAAATAAAACTGCTCCTTTTTATCTACAAGAACTTATCAGTATATATAAACCAGGGAGAAACCTAAGATCATCGAACGATAACACCCTACTTGTGACACCTGTAAAATCATACAAATCATATGGAGAGAGATCTTTCTCATATCTTGGTCCATTTATGTGGAACAGATTACCCATGAAACTAAGACAAATAAGAACACTTGATAGCTTCAAAAGACATCTTAAACATTTTCTGTTCCTACAGGCCTATCCTTCATAAGCTTTTAACGTTATCTTTCATTATATTTGTTCTTTTCCTATGTCTGGATGAAAATAGTCTGTGTGTGTGTGTGTGTGTGTGTGTGTGTGTGTGTGTGTGTGTGTGTATGTGTGTGTGTGTGCATTAATGTATATTGCTTGAGAAGAAAGGAAGTAGTAAGAAAGGTTTTTGAAAAATGGGTATTCCAATGTAAAGCGCATTGAGCTACTATTTTTGGAAATGCGCTATATAAATGTTATATATTATATATTATTATTATTATTTTAAAAGTAGGCCTAGACTCTAGATTCTACATCTAGACCTCTAGATCTAGATCTAGATTAGATAGACATTTTCCTTCTTAGACGGGGGGAATTTTGGGGGGAGATCGGAGAGGAGTTTCAGAGCCCCAGCGGGTGGGATCAAGGGTCGTTTGTGCAGTCTGCAATCAGTGGTCGAAATTTCACACCTCAACTGCTGTCCTCTGATAATGACATGCGTCAGTCTTACTTATCAAATTAAAATTACCACCAGTGCTTGCCTTTCCACCATTAGCCCCACCCATTGGTGTTTCAAGCACAGTCAACCAATGCCACCCATTACTGCCATCATGTAACAATGATTTGAGGAACTCTTTCTCGGCTGGCAATGCAGTCAGGGTGGCAGGCATTGGTCAAACTAATTTCACACCTCTGGCTTCTAGGTACCCAGGAAAGCTAATCGAGCACTTTCTCTGACACTCTCATGAAATTTCACACCCACACTACCCTGACCATCTGCATCTCTCAGGGCTCACATAGATGGGGTAACATCTACCCCCAAATTGCACCCCTACTCCCCTTCCTCGCCTGACGGCACAGCGTTAAAAAGTTTTGAGCTGGCGGAACCAAACTTCTTATTTTAGTTTCAAATCAGGGCTGAGCCGGCAAAGCATTTTCTGTCTCAGACAGAGGTAAAACCCTCGGAAGGGAGTGGATTCCTTCTGTTTCCACATTGGACTGGTTTCCGTTTTATACACAGGTAATTAGAGAGATCAAGGAAGGAGTGGGGAGATTCGATAGACAGGTTTCCGTTTTACACAGGTTTCCGTTAAGGCAGGTTTGACTGTACTTGCCCTTTTTTAAATTGAATTTTCACTCTATGTCTCTGTTCTTTAACAAATTATAAGACAAATGGAAGCACAGAATTAGATAAATTTGTCAATGACCGTATTGTCATGCACAACAACAGAGCTAAAACAAACAGATTTTTACGTTCACCAGATAATTACATGCATGTGACTTTAGACTTTAGCTGGTCAGGCGGCTAAACTATGAAAATAGGAGTAGTCCTTTTCAGCAGTTTTTTTTCAGAGGCGGTAACGGATACATAGGCCTACACAAAGCTCAGGAATTCCAATTAGTAGTCCTTACTTGAACCATATCCATGAGTTAAGGATAGATTTCAATTATAAGTAGAGGAAGGGGTTATATGCGGGAGAGCTTCGGGGTATTCTTTGATTCTTTTTACTGTGACTAACATTATTTTCTCCGTGGAATTTGAAGAGGGGAACCAATTCCTTTAAAATTTGTCTGTATATATTATATAAAATCATTGTGTCACAACGTGGTGGGATCAGGCGTTTGTCTATTTTTGGGCATGTGGAGTTATTGGTATCATCTGAAAGCTTATATTTGCCTTCCTTGAAAAATACACCCATCTCTTTCTTGAAAAGAAGGCGAAATATTTGCAATTGAAGAAAGTGGGGGTAGCAGGAATTCAGAGTTAAAATTATCGAGAAAATGGCGTCCAAAATTTTGTAACTTCTATAGCTGGAGAGACATTGAAAACTTAAAATTGTTTGCCATTAATCAATGTTTTTTCAGCAAAATTTACCTGGAAATGTGTTTGTTTTTGTTTTTTGTTTTTGTAAGTGTTTTACGGCACTCGCAACTGCATAAGGTCATATGAGCGCGCGGGACACATTAAACTTTTTTCAGTTGGTAGGAATTTTTGAATTTTGCCCGGGTGGCGGCAGAAGCCTACTCTTATCGATTTTAGACCACCAAGGGATCTTTAATGTGCGCAACTTGCACATGCGCCCTCCGAGATTTTTCACCCTTGTCCGAGAAGGCTAGGTGTAGATCTTTCCTACCAGAAGATCAGGGGTGTGGCTGAAAGACAGCAGTAAGAAGAAGCCAAGGAGTAGCAGTAGAAAGGCTGTAGAAAGAATCAGGAGCCCAGAGGAGGGGGGCAAAGGAGATGAGGGAGTGGGGGCAGAAAGAGGAGACGAAAGCAGACGACAGATCATTGCTAGAGAGCAGGAAATGAGGTGAAAGGAGACAAATTTAGAGAAAAAAATTTTTCTGTCACTACCCGGATTCGAACCCGGGACCTTTGAATGAGAGGCCAACACCTTAACCTCTAGGCGACGAGAGCCCCTGAAATGTGTTTTTAAAGGTATTGAGCCAAAAAAACAAAAATTCGATAAAAATTGCCACACTGAAGAAAAAATGCCTGTTTAGAGTTCTTCGATAATATTATTGTGAGAAGTGCCTGATTTCACACCTTTTGTGAGTTATTTATGTAGCAATAAAATAAAAGTATGCATATATATAAATATATATTCTTTTCCATTATATTCTATTTTTGCCACTATAATGTTATTATTTTTTTTCCAGATTAATATGAAATGTATCCTGGGCTCTTTTCTTCATTGACTGTAGCTGTGCTGCTGCACCTTTGTGGCTCAATAGAATTTAGTAAGTTCTGCATAAAATACTTCCTGTAATATTCGTCAGACTTGTGATTGACTGAACACTGTCTTCAGAACAGTTAGTTGTTCTTTCCTCCATCTCAACTGTGCTTGAAAAAATATTTCCAGTAAATTGTTTTTGTTGTACAATTTTATAAACTGTCATTTAAAGCCAAGCTGATGTCATGTATAAATGTAGTTCATTCCCATTCTTGATACATTTATATAATAACAGCTTTCCCCAAACAAACTCTGGCCTGAAGAGATATATAAACGTTGAATCTGTGGTAGAAAAACAATCCTTGGCAGTCCAAGAAACACACTTTAAAAATTCATAGAGTTTCATCAGCCATTCAGTTATCATATAGAGTGACTTCCTTTGGTATTTACTTCAGTGCAGTGCATCCATTCATTTTAAAATTATGTTTAGTGTGGATGGTTGCGTCAGCGACTAAAGTTGCCAGTAGTGGTAGTGAGCGCATACTATGGCCTGGCAACTTAAGCCACCGACGGTACTGTAAATGTTAAGCAGGGAGGGGGTGGTGTTGGGTTTTTGCTGAGATCAAAACTCGTAGACTGCAATTTCATTTTTAGGTCACCAAGGATCCACTGGCTTTGTTGACATAAATTGATATTTTTCGCTCCTCCCAGGGCTGTATAATGATATAAATAGGAGTGTACTACGAACTGCTTAGTTGTTTTAAGTACCGGTAGCCTAATATATGAAGGTGCAGTGGCGGAGCGGTTAGTGCGCTCGTCTCTGAAGCAGAAAGTCCGGATTTGAGCCTTGGTTCGGACACAGATTTTTTTTGCCCCTCCTGCCCACCCAGCAGTAATGGGTACCTGACTTTGAGTTGGGGAAATAAAAGCGGCATAGAAATGAACTGGCCACCCTACCACAATATGCCAAAGGCCCAGGAAGTTGTCTCACTAACAAGGCAATTCCCAGTGTCCAGATCGGATGCGGGAACTACTTTACGTTAATATATTATATATTGCGTGTGTTTGGTGGGGTTAGGGGGGAGAAAAGCATACTAGACTACAAGGTTTCTGCCTTAAGGTATAACAGTCAAACAGAAGAAGCCGACGTTGTATTAGATCAATTATAGCAGAGACTCATTTCAAAATAATTTGCTTTGGTCTTAAAACTCGCTTTTTAACTCTAGTCTTCAAGAAATTCTTGTTTATTTGGAAAGGTAAAATTGTAACCAGAAATGTATTCTGATTGACTTAGATTGGCATTCAGCAAAGAGAAGTATACGCGGAATCTACTTTTTAGAATTTGAACATCTCTTTCATATGATCAGTTTGCATTGCCTGAAGTGTTGGGGCATAAGAAAACCCGCAGGAAGTTGCATGCATTAGTAGGCCTACTGGTTGAAGCTGGTTTCACTGTCATTTTCTCAAAAGCAGAATACAACACTGTCTGTCACATGAACATTCAAATTATGTATCTAAACAAGGTATTGATTCAGAATGGAGAATGGACTTTTGCTCTGAAGTGGTTGGAGATTGCAAAGCAGTCATTTTATCCATTACAGTTTTGAGACGTTTTTTTTGTTTTTTGTATTAAGCAACCACAAAAATTGTTTCTGTGATTTTTGTAACGTTCAACAGTCCTCACTTAGTCTTTATATGTAATTGAGCCAGTAGATTTTTGTCGTTGACATGCTTTAACTCAAGGTCATACGAGTGCTATTACAACTGCTAGTAGATTTCTTTTGTTCAGAATGCTTGTGCTAAAGCTTACCAGTTTCATACAGATATATATGTGCAAACTGATGTTTTATCATGCAAACATGTATGCATCATGTACACATTGGAACTGAAGCATTCTTGAAATTGTAGACGCATAGTTCAACCTTAGACATAGCTATATTTAAGTAAGGGCTTGGTCACTGATTTGAAAATGGCTTTAAAAATGAAATGGGGCCATATATATATATATATATATATATATATATATATATATATATATATATATATATATATATATATATATATATATATATATATATATTAAAATATATAATACAGACTGACATTATTTGTCCATGGAGTGGCATGGAAATATATCTTGACATGAGAAACTGAAATGTGTACACACATAATGCTAAATGTTCAGTTAAGCTATGCTGAATCTACCTGGTAAGAGCTTTCATTTGAATTTTATTTTAAATTCCTCCTCAGTAACGGTGAAACCTTCCGAGAAGACATGTTCTCAGTCGATCAACTTAACACATGGCTCTTCATACGCTCTTTATGTCTATACTAGTGACTGTGATGAATGTGATGGGTCTGCTGGTTGCCCCTGGGCACCAATGAAGGAGTGCAGGATTAGTTTTGCCATTCCTGATGAAATAGAAAAAGCACTTTTTAAAATCTGTTTCCGAAAAGCCACATTAAAGGTCAAGAATTGCCCAGCAAAGGTAATCTTTCAAGAACACACGCCCTCTGGTACCAATGATCTTAAGGTGAGTTTTATCAATGCTTATAACTCCATTCTACACATAAATCAAGTTTTGTTCTTTTACTTACAATATTAGTCTAGAGTAGAGATGAGTAGGTACTTACAACCAAATCTACACTGAAGTTATTACCCTTTGTCACAGCCTTATACATGTATGTGAATTGTTCAATTATGTCAGATAATATTCTGTTCATAATTGTTACACCATTGCAAAGGTTACAGCACTACTTGTTAGTAAAAATTTGCAAGTCGAGATATAAAGATGTGATGGAAAAAAAGTGTTCCTTAAACCTAAAATATGAGGACTTTTTTTAAGAGAAATGATTGCGCATCCCTCTTAAATTGTTTTGTCTTCCGTTTCAGACTGTACAATGTCCCGCCAGCAAGTATGTGTACTCAAGCTCAGGTTACAGTAGTGAAATGTGCTTGAACCATGGACATAGCCTTGACGTTGTGTTCTCTAGTGACAATTTTTGTTCTATTGAGGGCTTTGCTGATGTGAGCACCAAGTCATTTGGTCAAAGTAAGTTATGCCGAAAGGTAATTTTAGGTTTTTCATTCAGCTCTTTTTTTGTAACTTTATCTGGAAAAATGAAAAACCTTAAATTTTGAAGTTGCTCTCCCTTTTATATTGCCTAGCAATTTGCAGTTCTAACATTATTATTATGTCACGCTTCAGTTTCCAGTCGACTCCTTTTCCAATGCATTATGTTATGAAGTACATTATAAGGTCTAACAATTAATCAGATCTAGTTATATAGACTCCTGTATGATATATGGCATGGAAATATCTGATAATGTCAACCGAATTTTTCAATCAGTGCTGAGCAATCTTTTACCCTTTCAAAACGTCTATCCCATTATTATGTTTATTGTTAACAGCTGAAAGACAGATGAGTCTCAAGCAGGACCATAGTTCCAATATATTAGTTATGTGTCTACTTGTTCTTCAGTTTTTATTTGCCTGTATAAAATGCACATATTCATTTGAAGGGGTTAGTTCTAATCACAGGCTATGTACCGCTGGAATGATCCCAAGAAAATTATGAAAACCCTGTTTTAGAACTGAAATAGGCAGCTTTGAACAGCCAACGCATTTTTTAAACCCCTTCAAGTGTCTTGGTGTTCACTCACCTCTAACCTCATTGTGCTGTCTGTTACTCCTAATTTTTTTGCTACAGCATCTTTCACATAAATAATTTAATGACCATTTGCAGTTCCCCAAGCAATTTGTCTGAAATTTTGAAGAGGAAACTCAATGTTTTATTTAAAGAAAGATTTCGTTTTAATACATTGTCTGCATCAACTGTTTTTTCTTCTCCTGCCAGTTTCCTTGAGTAGCAGTGACAGTTGTCCCAGGGGCTATAAATATAGACGAGATACCAGAGGCACCGTTTTTTCATACCATGGTGCAAAAATGCCTGTCCCAGCAAGATTTTGCAATGGAACATTGTGGTCGTATTCTTATTCAAGAAGTGAGGACTTTTGCTATTTCTTTCGATATGCAAACTTTCAACGTGGTGGAGCTTCTCTACATATTCTTGATCAGTCTGGAAATGAACACAGGTAAAGTTTTGAATTATTTCAGCCTTAGAATTACAGATACTGTATCAGAGCATCAAAAACTGTGAAATGAAATTGTTCGTGTGATGACTTGTAGAAAGGAATTGATTAGGGCCTATCCTGATGGATAGAATGAATGAATCCATGATTAGTTGTTCACCACAGAGAATGCTGCTTAAGAGGTCACTTACTTAAACTGACATTAACACAAGCATACCACAAAGTCACACTACACATGTGCACCCGCATACATACTTCCACTATGAGCATGACATAATTGTATGTGTGTAGATGGATTTGAGAAAACAGCAGAGAGAGATTCAGTGATCCCTTTGTCATTATGTATAAGAATCTTGTACAAATGTCTCGTATTAATTTGATAAGCGAATGTTCTATTTTTAAACATTGCATGATGCTCTGGAAAGTAATAGTATGAATGTTCGATGGTTTGTTCCTCATAATCCACATATTCATCTTTACCTGTCTCTCCAGAATTTATGGGTATTATAACCAACCAAAAATCAACTCAGAGTACTGCATACCTGTAGGCAAAGGAGGCAAAGCAAGTAAGGTCGATGTGTACATACAGAAAGCCTGTTCCAGTACTTATGATTGTGCTCCACATAATGCTCAACATGCCTTTGTGTTTGGATATGAATTCAGAGGTGGGTATGAATTCTGAAGTGGGTTTTAAGTCGTCGGGATTTAAAAAAAATTAGGAACAGTGTTAACCATGTGGCTAAAAGTCCCTATAGTGTTCAATCTTTTGATACAGGAAAACTAAAATAAAGTATTTGCTACAGTAGTTCTCGATGAAATAGCAAATGAAATGAAGGAACAACCTTTTAGAACGTAGAGACACTTCTTGATCCCTGAATAGGTCAGAGGTCATTACAAAGTTTCTATCTTTCTCTCTCTCTCACTCTCTCTGTCTATCTGCAGAAAATTGTTACAAGAGAACAGAACCTGTTCATAAAACCTCTAAGGGGGGGGGGGGGGGATCTCAATAGCTCAACACATATGATGTTCGCTTGTTAGCTCTCGGAGATCTGGAGTTCCCTTGAAATTATTAACTCTTTATCTCTAAGGAAGGTAAACCCTCTATGTCGGGGCCCTATTTTGGTACGAAATCTAAAAGGGACATATATATACATCACTAAATTGGTCTTAATCTAATGAAAGAACTGGTAAAAGAGATCTGTTTTTGACAATTGCTGAAAAGTAATTTGATGTCAAACTCGTAAAGGAATATGCCTGAGCCGCTGCCAGTGGCATACAGGCACAGCGGTTCCGACCTTCAGGCTGCCTTTCGGGTAAATCAAGAAGTGTATTCCTACCCAAAACAGAAGTGACTCTAGTCAATATAAAAATGTTTTAAGAATACCTTAAAAAAATGGCACCTGGCTGCCTGTCAGGCATGGGATCATTCTACATTCTTTGTAGGTAAAGCGACCATGTAAAATTCAACTGCATCGTAAGATGAAGGTCTTACAGTGAGTTGAATCAGTTTCTCCCTGAGCTCTAGCAGGGGTTTGAGAAGAACATAAAGATGAAAAAGCTTTATGCCGTGACAGGCTTTGACGCAGTGCGTAGCACCACTTGGTTCTCCACAAGATATGATGTTCCCTCCCAATTCTCCCACTCTTCTCTTCTCATGAAGATACGACAGCCACTGTTCAGTTTGATGGTTCTACATCAGGTCACTTTGACTTTGGAAGGAATTGTGTTCTTCTTATGCTAACCCCTTTTTAACCTCTGCTTCCTTGTGCTGTGGTTGCACTCTTTAAAGTGGGTGTTTTCTTTGCTGGAGGGCTGATGTGATGAGTCTTTTTCTGTTTTTCTCACCTGAAGACAAAGAAAAGATCATAACCAACTCAACTTTAGTTGGAGATCTCTTCATTTAAGATGATCAGCATTGATTGCTCACAGTGCATCAATAACACTATAGATTATGATGAAATAGCCTTTAAAACTTCCTTGTTGTCATCTTCTCCTCTAGAAGAGTTGTGCAGGCACACAATATAGTGTACAGCTCCAAGGAATATCAAGATGAACAACATACCAGTAGAAACTTTCAAGAAAAATTTGTTTCCTTGGATCAACAATCTCTTCGTATTTTCCCTGATTATGAAAAATATGCCAGGCTAGGGTAACAGCAACAGCATTTAGAGCCCTCAGCAAGAGGATGTGAAATCAGAATTAGTAAAGGCTCTCAGTGAAGATCAAAATAAGAATTTATGAAGTGTGTCCATTGAGTATCCTCCACCATAGATTTGAGACCTAGTCATTGCGCTTGAGACAGGGGAAGAAACAGAGAGAGTTTATTCCCTGAAATGTTTCCACATGGGCATCAGTATACATTGACCAGCAAAAATTTTCAATCAGTTGTCTTTGATCATAACTTCCAAGCCAGTCCTGTGTATATAAAGAAATGGCACTGACAAGTGGACAGCATTTTGAAGTTACTGTCTGAAGGTAGGGAACCCAGGGGAAGACTGTAGTGGAAATAGAGAGGCCATGAAGATCCTGTAGATCTCAGAACGTGTGAAAGTGTAGCTGACGACTGAACTGTTTAGATGAGTTGGATACCTTGAAGAAGAATGTATCTCAAATTTCTTTGCCAAAAGTCAAAGAAGTAAAGAACTCCTGTTACAGCTGTGCAAGACCATCTTTATGTTCCTAGTCTACAGAAGACTCGGTTTCTTTTTAGCATAGGTAGGGTCAGCATGACAGGAGCCCTAATTCTGACCTCAAGAGTACCATATTCTTTTTTGTCTCATATATGCGCTTTCTTCTCTAGAATTTTTTTCTCTGCTGTCAATATTTTACACCCCTATCAACAAAATTTTGATCATTTAGGAGTCGGGCTATCGCGACCTTGCCTGTCAGTGTCAACTGTGGCACACAACATCCCTGCAGAATGACCCGGATATTAAAAAAGAAAAAAACACCTTCCACACTCTGAAACGAAAGTCACATCTTCTACAGGCGATGTAAAAGAGCCTAAATATAACACAATAAATACCAACGGGTCCCCAGGAGAAAAAAAGAATCTTCTTTACATTCCACTGCTAGATCCCTGAGGTAATCTACTGCTGGTTCTTCAATCTGCAGTGCAACTGATTTTTACGTACATATGACAGTTTTTCCTACTTAGTAGGGCCCCTTGCCTTAAGGCAGCCACACGCTGATTCCGAAGGTACTCTGTATGTTTTTATACTGACTGGAGTATTTTCAGTTTTGGTAGGAATCAATTTTGAATATTGTCTGAGTGCAGGCCAAAGCCTACTCTTATTAATAGATTTTAAGACCACCAAGAGATCTTTAACATGTGCAACTTGCACAAGGGACCTCCAAGATTTTTCACCTTAATCTGAGAAAGCAAAGCATTGGATCTTACCTATCCTAAGATCGAGGGTGTGTGGCTGAAAGACAGCAGCAAGAAGGAGCCAAGAGTAGCAGTGAAAAGAGTCAAGAGTAAAGGAGATAGGAGCCCAGAGAAAGGGGGGGGGGGTCAGAAAGTGTAGATGAATGCAGGTGACAGAATATAAATAGAGAACAGGGGAGGAGGTGAAAGGAGAATATTTTAGAGAAGAAAATGTTTTCGTTGCTTTCAGGTTTTCGAACTCAAGGCCTATTGAATCAAAGACGAACACCATGAGAGCCTCTGAGAAAAAAATAATTTTCAAATTGGTTTTTTAAAGTTCATTCAGCTTCTTCAAAATGAATAAAGAATTTGGTAAGAAATGCCAATGTATACACTGAAATTGTATTGGATTCTTTCCTAATTTCTACAGAAGTCGAAAAGGCTGAGCCCGAAGCAGTAGAGGAAGAGGACGATGACACAGTGAAAATCATCATTATTGTTGCCAGTGTACTGGCTGTTTTCCTTCTCTGCTGTTGCTGTTTATGTTGTTGCTGTTCGCGGAAGGACTCATCAGATTCCACAAATGCTACCGCAGCTGCTACAGGTATGTCTGTGTATGGAGAGCATTTAAGTTATCTTTGTGAAACGCTTGAACTTAAGCACCCTCAACTGATTTTACATTTGGATTATTCTTTTGTCCAAGGGAACTATATTACCAAGCTGGCTCTGCTCTTCATTTCAAAACCAAAAACTCCAAACCGGCCAAAAATGACTAAGGCAATTAACCTATGAGCATGACAAAATTATCACATGCTTTTCCATACTGGCACAGTGACTTACAAATTCATGTATTTTATTATTTAGTCTTTCTTGGACTTTCGTTTCTTTATTCTATGCTTATCCTCCCATGTATTTCATACCTGTTGTTAATTTACTTTTTGATTTTGTAAGTTTTTCAGCCAATTCACAATATACAAATCTGTTTTTCATTTTTCCCATTCCTTACCTAGACCTCTTTAAGTTAAGCAGTCACTATGAGGTGAAGTAGATAACATTACCAAGGAGTGTTTTGGGTTTTTCTGTCCTGCGTCCCCCATTTGATGCCAAATATTTGTAGGTTACATAGGGAAAATCCACGTGGAACCTGGAAAAGAGTTACAGAGAATGTTATACAGAAAAGTGTGAAGACATTGAATAATATGAAGAGATTAACCCAGGTTGGGGTATGGTGGAAAAGTATTTATTTGTGGACTAAACCCTGATGCAGGGTGAGGAAGGCAGTGATGATGATGACATAAGATAATGTGTCAACATGATATGATAGTAAATGTTCTGTTTCCATATAAACACACAACATAAATCTAGGAAGCAGGAAAATCGTTTGGACATGCATGATAATGATAATGACCAAGTTGTTGAGAACAAATGCAAGATTAATCTTGGTGTTAGTTTATTTCTTCATTTGGTGCCTACGCTAGATCGCCTCGGATTGTTCTGGGGGGCAGGAGACAACCTTCATTCTCAAAACTTACTTAGAGTGACCAAAGTTTAGGAATAGGTCATTATCAGGTTCCCTAACATATAATAATGGTATAACAAACTACACCAGTGCCAAAGCGGTTGATATACAAAAACAAGAACTTTGAAAAGTGACATAATATAAATATTTGGCTTGTATATGACCTTATTGTGTTGCAAGTGCCATAAAACTCTTACTAAAACTAAACTAAGAATATAAATACTTAGGCCAAACAATAAGTATGGTGAGAGAGAAAAAAACTGTGGTGAACAGAAGGATACATGTGGCTTGGAGTTGCTTTCAGATCAAAATCTGCTGATATCACTAAAAAGACTTGTTTTCAATAAGTAGGCCTACTTTGTCCCAGCAATAAGTCATGGGTGTCAAACCTGGCCAATTGCCAGAAATGTCATAAAAGAATTAAGGATAACACAGAGATCAATGGAAAGGAAGGTGCTGGTTATAAATAAGCATGATCAAACTAGGCCCCCAAAAATACGAGAGAAAACTGGAGTGGCAGACAACCCCAGATTTATACTCCAACAAAATGAAAATGGTCTGTATACATGGGCACAGTGAGAGACAACAAATGAACAAAAGGATGTACTGAATGGAGACCATGAGCAGGAAAAAATCAAGAGCAAGACCTGGAAGAAGGTGGTAGGATGACATCAAAGAGCAGACAGGTTCAACCTGGACACAGAAAACTTCAGATTAAAGACAGAGGATGTCGTTGTTGGAGGGCTACATCCTGCAGTAGACAGACAATACCAAGACAGGGAAAATGCCAAAATGTCACATGGGGAACTCTCCTAACTAAGTGATGACATTGTTAGTAAATGTTGCTCTAATTGTATACTATCAGAACCTTAATATAGTAAAAAGATGTTGCTAGTAACCTTTGTAATCATTTTCACTGTCAATTTAATTGCATTCAGGTAAAAGGTCAACATCTCTAAACATTTGTCACGGGTTGAAATGAAAAGATACTATGCTAAAAGTCTAGCATGGTTACTTTTAACATAAAAGGTCCTTACTGGCCCCATTCATCTAATGGGTTGCTCTCTACCTAATTCACTCAAATTAACAGTTGGGATAAGAAAGACATAAAGACCTACCAGCGGCACTCTCCAACCATATACACATGTTGAAAAAAAGGTTAAAGAGTATACTGAAGATTTTCACAATAGGATGCACGTTCAAAGTTCTTAAAGAGTATGTTTGTAATTCATCTTTACCAAAATCAGACTGTTTTGGTCATTTTGCTGTCATGCTATTCATCATTCAAATCCTTTTGAGAACCAGTTAAGAAATTCTCAAATGCGTTTCTTTATCAAATGATGTCACAGCATGATTGGCTAACTTCAGGCTGTATCATTCATGTTTATGGCCTCTTTGAACATTGCTAAAGTCACAAAAATAATTATGGATAGATCTAGATCGAGCTCGGCCTAGTTTGCGACAGTTTTTAGTTCCAAAAAAAAGTATTCCCAGCAGGTGGTCTGCTAATCTTCAATTTTACCCATGTTTACATTCTGTGACTGACCATAGTCATGTTGTGCACCTTCTTTGTCGACATACATGTATTTCTGTGTTTTGTTTCAGACAATTGGCAATCTTCAGTTTTTATAGTGAGTTCAGGAACTTCATGAAAAGTCATAAATACTCTTTTGGGTGTTTTTATTCTATACTCAGCAGTCTGTTCCCAGTGACAGCTCAGGGTTTTTTGTCCTTGTAGGTCTTCTAATTCTGTGTTGTTGTTTTGCCATTTCTGGAATGAATACTGAAAAATGTATAACTTGATTGGTGTATATACTGACAGGAGATAAAACAGTTTTTGTTTTAAAATGAATCCTCCAGAACAACTTACTACCGGCAGCCCTGCAGGTGAGAGTAGCATGCCAGTCTTTGTCCACCCGACTCAAAGCATCAGCACAAACGGTCAAGGCCAAGCTATCTACCAGACCACAGACTTGTCTGCCCCACCTCCAGCATGGTCCACTCTCCAGGGCCCATCATCTCCCAGCCATTTCCCCTCAGCCTCAGCAGGGCCAGACTTGAACAGATATCCTTCTGCTCCCCCTATGGAAGAGAGTCAGCCATTTGTTGACCAGACTAGTGGACATGAAGACTCGGAGAAACCTCCTCCAGACTACAACTCTCTGTTCCCTGACCATTCATAAAAGTATACTAATTCATACTCGTGAATATTCACATATTTTCTCGAAAGTTTATTAAAGTCACCATGAAGTTTCTCTATGAAAAGTACAAATCGATTTTAGTGCTGGAATACATCTTCAATGTAGATCTAATACACGAACAGTATCTGTTACACTCCAGAAATTCCTTACTTTTCTAAAAACGCTAAGTCTAGGTTTTGTAAGTTGACTGAATAATAGGGATGACTTCTCGTAATTGGGTTATAAGAATAATTTCTAGCTTTCCAGGGACACTGAATCAGCACCAGACTTTTCCAGCTTTATTTTTCGTTTCTATGACGATTTGCAATAACAGACAATGTGACTGATTTCTTTACATTCATAATTGTGTCCGCACATATTTCCGACACAAAAACTAAGAATGAATGTGTTAGCTGTCATTATTTTTATTCCATACAAGAAGTTTATCTCTACCCATGTATTTACACGGTTTTGTGGGTTTTTTAATCGCTTGGATTCTATATTATATCTTATTAGTTGTATGCAGGCTGCCACAGACACAGCATGATTCATGAACAAACGCAGAGTAACTTTCTCTTGTTTAATAGTAAAATAAGAGCTAACGCTGATCGTCTTTAGTTAAAAAATGCAGATGTGCATCTTTCTTCTCTTATAACTTGACTATTTCTACTCGTGCAGATTTAAGATTTCTCATGGTAAAAGACATGATATTTGTAGTCAGTTTAACATAGATTTTGGAGAGATCTGTCGTGCCTTTTTAAAATTAACAATCATTTATTCATAAGTTTGTAACTAAAATAGGACAAATTGGGTACTCTAAAAACCCTTGTCTAGAACAAAAACTAAGGCACAGAAATTAACCATTCTAACGCAGAATAAATCTCAAGACATTGAGCTTTTAGTACATCCGCGTAATGGTTTGCTATGTGGGATGGGGAAGAAGTTATATCGTTTTAAACATAGTCAAAAATGCGAACTTCCTAACCTACACCGGCAAAGTCGCTTCAGGGCTCATTAACCCCGTGACCCTGAGCCGGGGAGCTCCAGCGGGCTGCTGAGTCACGCGAACTAAAAGTAACAGAATCGGGCGAAAAGTGACGCCGTGAAGTATGTATTCTCACAAATTGATATTGGGTGGGTTTGGGGGAGGGGGGGGGGGGGGGGTTGTGTTGCTATCATTCTTTTCCTGAAGCCTATTATAGAACTGAAAGATCATATTTATATAGACAGCTGTGTTGTTCTTGTTAATTCATCTGCTTTTTTTCCCCTGCTTCTACTGTATTATTACTGCCTTGTATTTAAAAATACGTCTTCTAGTTCTACTATAAAAAATTCAGCTTGTTCTTTTAAGGGGTCAAGCTATCAAGACAAGCTGTTTTCATATGTATACATCTTTTAAAACAAAACACAATTTAAAATATCACTGTGTTATTTGATGCTTGGTTTTATGTTGTTGTTTTTTATTGGGTTTTTTTTTTTGGGGGGGGGGTGCTTAGTGGGACTACCCTTTCTCGCAACAGTAATTGATCTCTAGAATTGAAGAGTTAATTTTGCTTTCTCAGTTTGATATCTTTGTCATTCAATTTAGCTTATTTATCTCTGTAATCTGTGACAATAAACTTCTTCCGGTGTATAAATAATTGGCAATATGATAAGTATAGACTTAATAGATATTCTGGAAAAAAAGAAAGACTGGCAGTCTCCTGTTTTGACCCTGGAGTACAGGAATAATGATACTAGTAACTTTTTATGGGTTAGGGGTAATATGGGTGTAGGATAAGAAGGACAATAGTATTCATTGGGGTTGGGACCAAAACTGGATTATTACTAAAGATTTGAGAACACCTGTAAATTTTGTTTTAAATGAATGTATAATCCTCCAAGTCCAAGGTCTATGTGATACGATAAATCAAGATTGATGTGATATGTTGAAATTTCGTTCAACTCACTTCCCCGCTTTCAGTATTCAGAAGGCTAGCTCTAAATTTTATTTGTAGGCATCTACATCATTCTCATTCAGTTTAGTCTAGTTTTTTTCTCAACGCTTAACAACAGTTTTACCAGTGTATGAATAAGAAAGCCACTGAATTTCTTTTAAAATTCTAGATCTACAGTCGAACTTGTGTAAGACGGAATCGCAAGGGAGCCAGAAAAAAATTTCGTCTTAGACAGATGAAACCCTCGGAAGGAAGTGGATTTTTCTCTCCGTTTCCGCGTTGGACAGGTTTCCGTTTTATACAGGTAATTAAAGAGAAATAAATCAAGGGGGGAGCGGGGAGATTCCGTTAAGACAGGTTTCCGTTTTATACAGGTTTTCGTTAAGGCAGGTTCGACCGTATATGTAATTCGTTGGATTTAGATTCTATGTGATCTTTTCAGATTTTGGTTCAATTCACATTGCCACATTTGGCGTTCAGTTCTAGTTTCTACTCAGCGACAGTGTCGCAAAGGGCCTAAGACAAGGCAAACTATACCTAAATTACAGACATAGAGCTGCAACCTATAAGCCTTGCAGATTTGAGGGGGGGAGGGGGGGGGAGGAATATTTGGTTGTGTCGGCAAGTTAGCTCGAATAAGCTTACCCAGGGGTGGTTAACATAGTTGAGCTATAGGCCTATATAGGTCAACTTTTTAGGGGGCTTTTCATTCTCACCAGATTTTCAACGTGGTGAACTTTGAATATGAATTATGATGTTATAGTAATGAAATCGTTAATGACACCACAAAGTTTTTTCAAAGTATCTAAACAACAAAAAAAGCGTTACTTTTACAACAACAACTGACATTCGTATAACTATAACAGTACTGTTATTTAGATTTTTCTTCCTGCATCACCTACTTGTACCCTAAGAACAGAAATTCTCAATCCTTTTCAGCTCATACTTGTAGTGTACTGACTGAGGTTTTATCGCTTGTCATTTGGGGAGTCTCGGTATCCTTTGGGGTCTCATAAGGGTTATTTGTCCATTGGTACTTGGTTGCCTGTGCACTTTGTGATATTTTTTAATAATGCCTTAAGAGGGAGTCAATATTTGTAGCGTGACCTGCAGGACAGAAATAAGCTATAATCTACATCGACAGAGCTTTGTCAACCATAAACAGACCACGAATGATATTGGGCCCATACGTGAAAATGTGTAGAGACATTTGGCCGTATTTTTTTCAAAAATTAAAAATGTTTCTTCTTTCACCTCCTTTGGTCTTCTCTAGTTATCTTCCGTCTTCTGCTTTCATCTTCACTTTCTGCCTCCTCCCCCCCTTTCCCTATCCTCTAGGCTCCTGACTCTTTCTCCTGCTACTGCTTCATACTACTATCTTTTAGCTAAACCCCTGATAGGAGAGGGCGAAACGATTTAGGAGATTCCGTATGCAAGTTGTGCACATTTAAGATCCCAGAAAGGTTCTATGGTGTTCCTTTCGAAATGATTCATGATTTGATTTCATGTGTGCATTAATTAGAGTTTAACCATTGTCATAATATTTAGATTTTCTGCTCTGTTGTCAAAATATATTGATGTTTCATGTAAATTTTTTGTAAATTGATTGAGATTTTTATGCTTGCATTCTTCCAACCCTCACCCAACACTTGTTGCACATCTGCAGATTGTTCTGAAGGGTAATGTAGATTACAGTTGGAACATTTTTGTTCTTCAGTGCCATTGTCACATGTCTTGTCAACAGATTGGATCAGAAGTTTTCTTTGTGGCACTCTTTCTGCAATACTCAATGTTCTTTCTGACAATTTGAGTCAGACGGTTACAACATCCAAAGTAACATACAGTCAAACCCCTTTATACTGCCTACTTTAGGACTAGCATGAACTTGGCAGTGTTGCAGGGCTCTTGGTATAACAAGGTCCTCTGTTACATGCACTGACTGCCCAACTTCATGGGAAATAATTCTGCGATAACTAGATGAAGAACTGTATCATAAGGAGAGGATTTTACTGCCTTGTGCCAAACTGCAGTGAAATGGAGAGTGATTTGCTATTGTGACTTTGAAGGCTTTAAAATATTTGCAAATTTCTTGCTTTCCCTGAGTGGTCAAGTGGGTGGTTGGCGGGTGCTCTGGTGTGGTTTGCTTCTTCTTTCCTTCCTATCAAACATCTATCGTCCTTATCTCCCCTTCTTCTTGTTTATGTTTGTTACTCTCTTGTAACACCTCTAATCTTCTGTGCTCATATGACCTCATGCAGTTGCGAGTGCCGTAAAACCTCTACTAAAACTAAAACTGAGTGGTCAAGCATGATAGAGATAAACTGTCCAATCTCACCCCATCTATATAAATATGTATATCTTGGGTGATTGTCAAGCGTAGGGAAATAAACAAACCAGCAACCAAATCTATGTATTTCTCTAGTTAAACTGTAACTTCAAAGTAAATTCAAAGTGAAAATTTCAGCTAGATTAGAAGCTAGACAAAGTGTCAAGGTACCTGTAGATGTACAGTTTTTCAGAACCCAATGCCCGTCAGTCCTCGAGCCACCTCAGACCTGTAACATCGACTTGAGTGAGAGCCTTCACAAAATAAAAGCCCCATGGGTGCCTGCCAGCTTTGAGGTGTTCGTGTTGATATCTGGTAACACCCAGATATTTTGCCAGTAGGTCAAGGTTGCACAATTTCGGCGACTTTAAAATATTTGTCGAAGCCTAAAAATTATAGCGCTTTCATAGATATAACACATCAAAATTAGTCAGATTCGCACGAGAAGGTCAATTATGAAGTTATGTTTTATTCAAATTTTACACTTTTTTCCAACACCAAGCTCATTGTACATTGCACTGTGTTTGGTTACATCACACGACTCCATTATAACGTCTATCACTATCAGTATTCTTCATTTTAATCTGGAGTTCTATATTTTAATGTTTGCTCCTTTATTTTACTTGTGTGTATTCCTTATCCTCAGCCATTTCGGTTGGGTTCTATTTAAGTTTGCTTGCACAGTCTACTATCCAAATTGAACTGAGGACTGACTGGCAGAGGTAAAGAAAAAAAGCTAAACATCTCCACATACTGCCTGAAATCTACAAGACAAGGGTATAGAGGTGGGATAGGCGGGGAAGGGAGCACATTGACAACAAGTGCAAGATCTGGCCTAGCTC